AGAAGAGATTCCTATGATTCCTGATTAGAAGAAATCCTTTTTGACTACAGAAGCTTCCAGGCAAAGGCTTGAGACTGTGCGGCAGACTCAGCATCCTGATCACTAACAACAGGAGCTGATATTTCCCACGTGCTAAGCACAGTGTTAAGCTCTTTCTGATCATTATCTCATGTAAGCCTCAGAACGGTCCTGTAAGTACAGGAGCTACAGGTAAAATGTAACCCATGGCACAATCCTACCAGCTACAATGGACAGTCAGTAGAGCTAGCCTTATGCACACTAGTTCACATTGATCCACTATTGGCTTTGCCCTACTCCCGAGCAAGGAAAAGGAGGTACTGAGAGTTTAAGTGACCTGTCTAGGACACAGCAGGGGAGCTTGGCACTTGGTCTGTGCACCCTCAAAGCCTGTGCTTGGCTGTTGCTACAGTGCTGTGCTACCTAGCTCCCATAACAGAGGGGAAGGATGATCACATACCTAATCACACTTGGGGGATGTGGGATGTCTGTCTGTATGCTCTGAATATGGTTTACTACCATTGGTTAATAAAGAAGCTGATTTGGCTAATAGTCAAGCAGAATAGAGCCAGGCAGGAAATCCAAGAAGAGATACAGGGAGAAGAAAGGAAAAGCCATGGAGATATCATCCAGCTGCTCAAGGAACTGCATGCCAGAGTACCACCAGTAAGCCACAGGCCATGTGGCAATACACAGATGAATAGAAATGGACTAATTTAAAATGTAAGAGCTAGTTCATAATAAGCCTGAGCTATTTACTGAACACTTATAATTCATATAAGCCTCTGAGTCAATTATTTGGGAATCAGCTATTGGGTATTTGGGAACAGGTGAGCAGGAGAGAAATGTCCAATTATACTTGGGTGCTTGATAAAGCAGAGATGCTAGCTATTTAGGTCCAATATTTTCTTTATTCACAAAGTCCTGTATGACAACTACTCTAATGTTTACTCTATCACCCTACATGTGCCACCAAATCACGAGCTGAAACCCAATCCCTGAAGAGATGGAACTCAGAGGCCTTTGAGGGCATGGTAATTTAGATGTAACTGGTCTCCATCATCTCCTAGGAAATGGCACTGTTTTGGAGGTGTGGCTTTGTTGGGGTAGGTATGGCCTTGTTGGGGGAAGAGTGTCACTGTGGGGTGGGCTTTGAGGTTTCCTATGCTCCAGATACTGCTCAGTGTCATAGTTCTTTCTGTTGCTTTCTGATCAAGATGTATCCAGCACCAGGCCTGCTGCACACCGCCATGCTCCCTGCCTTGATGATAATGGACGGAGCCTGTGAAACTACAAGCAAGTCACCCCACCCCAATTAAAAGTTTTTCTTATGAAAGTTGCCATGGTCATGATGTCTCTCCACAGCAATAAAAACCCTGAGACACGGGGTGACATTTCATGAGGATATTTCTTTCATGAGTGGGATTAGTGTCCTGGTAAAAATGTCCCCCAGCTGCTTTGCCTCTTTCCACCATGTAAGGACACATGGAGACAGGCCAGAAAACAGGCCTTCACCAGATGCTGAATCTGCCGGCGCCTTCACCGTGTGCTGCTCAGCCTCTGGAACTTTGAGAAATAAATCTCTGTTGTTTATAAATCACCCAGCTTACGGTATTTTGTTACCACAACCTGAACGGAGCAAGACAACCTCCAACTTAATGCTGTAGAATAGGACACGGTTATTATCCAAATCCAGCCTTATATCAGACACAATGAAGACCCATCTCGGAGAGATTAAAGACTTTCACTGCCTTAGGGTTTTGGAGAGAGGCAGAGGTTGCAGAGGAGGGCTGGTTAAGTCACACATTGGCTAGGGAAAGAGTATCTTCCTGAGTAAAGAATGCATCTTAAAATGAAACAACCCGCCGCCTGCAGCATTCGAATGACCAGACCTGTAGCATCAACCTGACAATCAGGGCGTAGGGGACGGTGGTGGTGGTGTAATGTGCTGGTTAGGTAGAAGCAGAAGGTTGGGAGTGAGGGAGACTCCACACAGGACATGAGTATGAGGGATGGAAAAAATCTGTCCACATGCTGAAATCTCCCATTGTTTCTTTCGAAATACCACAAATCTTTTCTAGCAGTTTCGGCTGGGGCTCAGAGTCAAGGCCAAAGTTCAAGTAACATCAGAGTTTATTTTTGAAATAGAGGTTTATTTCCTCATGGAATTCTTGAAGGGTTTGCCCTGTGTGTGTGAAGCATTGAGTCTGAACCGAAAGGAATTTATTTTAGGACCTTGAGCCGTCTTGGGCTCTCACGTCTATTGCCCTAGGAGGTGATTGATGGCTGAGTAAGTTTCCAGTCCACCCCTGGAGGCCCAGCTCTGGGCCTGCACGCCTGTTGCCTCCAGGTCAGGAACACACTTTTCCCTCTCAGGCCTTGTAGCCCTGGCCCCTCAGCGCTTCCACCCTGCACTGTGGCGTATTGATTAGCACGGACATTGGCTATGTTCTCGACTGAATTATAGGTACTTTTCTGGTTGAAAACCTGCCACCTCTCTTTCTTTGAGTAACTAGAGGAGAAAGTAGGCTTGTGCTGTGCTGTAGAGCCAAGCATTAATATAAAAAGGACTAAATGGAATTAAGAGAAAGAAATCCATCTCGTGTTTGCCAATTCTTATTAATTCTCTCTGTTCAGACACTTAGAACCCGGAACAAGAGAAAGTTCGAGTTCGGATTGACAAGGAGACTTTTAGGACCCGCTGGCTGCATACTTTTTTCATTCAGAATGAATGTATCTTTCCTGAAGTCATAGGAAGGGCGTATGAGTGGAATGCGCAGTCTTAAAACTTAGATAAATCAAGCCCAGGATATAGCTCAGGGGTAGAGTGTCTGCCTAGTAGGCCAGTTTGATTTCTGCCTCACAAAAGCAGAAAACAACAACAGAACCTATTGGATAAAACAAGTGCATCCCCCCCCCCCCTTTTTCCTTTGCAGCTGTGAAAACTGCCAGCTTAAAGGAGGAAGGGGGCCGGGTGGTGGTGGTGAATGCCTTTAATCCCAGCACTTGGGAGGCAGAGGCAGGCGGATCTCTGTGAGTTTGAGGCCAGCCTGGTGTATAAGAGCTAGTTCCAGGACAGGCTCCAAAGCTGCACGAGAAACCCTGTCTCGAAAAACAAAACAAAACAAAACAAAACAAAAAAAAAGGAGGAAGGAGCATATTTTATATTAGTTGTTCATTCTTTCAAATTCATTGTTTAAATTAAAACCCTAGGTTCTTTACAGCAAGCTGAGAAACAAGATGGACAGTGGCAGAAAACTGGAGGGAGCGGCCCGTTTCCCCAAACCCCTCTTGCCTCGCTGGCCACTCTCTTTCCATCTCTGCTTTAGTCAGGGCCCTGGTCAATTCCACAGGTGGGCCCAATTTAGGCCCAGATTGTATCTCCTAGCACAATTATGGGAAAAACAGCTACAAGCCTTGGAGCCTTGCTGTTGGCACTGGGTGGGAAGCAGCGAGCACTTGGAGCTGTGGTCACACACTGGTGTTAAGGGCCTCCCCTTCCTCGGCCTCCACAGCTTCCTTGCCTCTTTTGGCTTCTGCATGGGTCAGTGCCAAAGTTGATAGGGGTTTCTATCAAAGCAACTATTTGATTCACAGAGTGCTGATTGGTAACTTAGCCCCGAGGATGGGGTGGGGGGCACAGGTGGCTGCAGCAGCCTTGGCTTCCACATTGATTCTAGATGAGATTCTTAAGTGCCTCCTTCCTGTGCCAGGCAATGTTCTGTTCCAGAAACTACAGTGACCCTCCATTGCCCCTTTGGCCAAGTTACATTCTTTAGTAAGGCTTTTCATAGCTGGTTCTGCCTACCATCTAGCTTCATTTATTCTCTCATTTAACAGACACTTCCTGAAGTAGCTAATGCATGCTAGACACTGGGCTTGGCATTGGACATACCGCAGCAAACTAGATGGATGTGGCTCCTGCCTTCAGGGAGCTGTTGGAGGGAGGGAGATGATAGTATTACAAAGCAATACTATTACTATTATCATAAACAAACAGAGATGATCCTATTACCATCTGTACACTGTTCAGATGCTGTGCTAGAGGGTGATGGAGAGAGACCCTTCACCTGACTGCTTTCTTGCCTGGTGAACTTGGAAGGAGAGTGGCACTTTTAGAACCCCAGTTGTGCCTCCACAAACCAGCGGGGACCCTGCTTCCCTAAAGGCTGCCTCTATCCAGTTTCGCTCCTTGAACTGCAAAGCAGTCCCTCTCTAGAGGTAGAGGAAGAGACAGGCTAAGAAGCAAGGTGAAAACTTCAATCCCCTGACCTTCTCCCATCTGCTCGCAGACCCGCTGTAGTCCTGGGAAGGGAGGAGGGGCTCTGCTCTGAGGTGGCTCCTTTGCAAGTCCTTGATGTTTCCTTGATGAAAGCCAGGACTCTCTCATTCAAGAGGCTGGAGTGAGTGAGCACTGACTAGGCTGGGGGGAAGGGCACGGGCCAAAACTGAGCTGCTTATTCTGAAGCTCTTAAAGACTCGGCTCCAGGAATCAGAGTAGGGGGTGTGGGTGCTGGCTGCTCAACCACCAGGCCCAGCCCCGGCCTGCTGCATTCAAGCGCGAAGCTCAGCCCAGACAGTCTCCTTCAATCTGCTCCTACCTCATTCCTCCTCCTCTGGAGCAGAGATCAGTCTAAACAGTTCATAGGTCAGGGAAAAGCATCTCTGCTGAGTAAAGCCAAGTCCCCTACTTCCTGCCAGTCACTCTCTTGGCCGAGGTTGGAGTTCACCAAGTAAAGAACTTTGGATTCTTAGTCCACAACCGGACTTCACAGTTCAAACAAGGGGTTATCTTTTGTCCATTTGTTGATTCTTAGGTTAATTAGAACTCAACTTTTCTAGTGACTATGTTTAAGAAATAAGTATTGACGAGCGCAACTGGATCGCAGCACTTTATTCTTTTTCTGCATTTTCCATTGACAAATAATAATTAGTTACATATGTAAAGGGCACAGTATTATATTTTGATATATGCATTGCAGATTTAATACATAAAGCCAATGACCATAGCCATCATGTCACACACTACACATTTTGTGTAGCAAAACATTTAAAAACATAAACAGAATTTCAATATACCACTTACAGAGATTTATTTTATTGTTTTATTGTATAAGCGTGTGCGCCGTGTGTGTGGTGACTGCAGAGGTGAGACGAACACTTGGGACGAATCACCTGGAACTGGAGTTACAAACAGTTGTGAGCTACCATGTAGGTGCTGGGAATTGAACCAGCATCCTCTGGAAGAGCAGGCAATGTTCTTAACCACTGAACCATCTTGCCAGCACCTGCAGAGCTTCCTTGAACTGTCTAAGGAACAACTGATTTTCTGAAGCAAAGAATGGAAACAGTCCACATAGTATTAGTGCAGACACAAGTATTTTGTTCCAAATATTTTGCTCATAGGTTCTGCAGGTTTATACTTAACAGAGCATTTATAGGATGGAAAGTGAGAGAAGTAGAAAAGAAGGAACATCCCAAATCAGAGTAGATTAGTGGAGAATCAAAAGCAAGCTCAGTGGGAGAAGTTCTGAGTGGAAACTTGCCAAGTGCACGCAGACACACAGCACACTAAAGGCTCGCTAGTTTGCTGAGTACGCTTTGCCTTCTACAAATTTGAGAAATCGGGGTGGGGGGAATGTCTGCATTGAAAACACAGCTCAGCTCCTGAAGTCCCTCTTCTGGGATCCCACAGGAGCTCACTGTGGCCAAGTATGAAATCCATCCCAGTTGCCAGGCCTTCTCCTCAAAGCAAACAGCTCTGGGCTCCCTATTAGATTAAAATACAAACAATGTCCCTCAATCCCAATAGAATAGATTATTCCACGAAATGTTGTTGTTACTATTATTATTCGTTCATTCCTTTACAAGCAGGCGGAGACAGTGCTGCTCCTCAGAGACACTGCCCTCCTGAGCAGTCAAATAAGGTACTCGGTTCTCTCCTCTAAATTTCCAAGGCTCTGGCTGCTAGTTCGCTGTACTCATAGTCCGGTGTGGGTTGGTGCGTGGCATCGAGTACACATTAGAAGGAAAACTAGATGCACGGTGCCAGACTATTCTGCCTGTCTCTGCTGTGACTCTCTGGTGTGGACGCCGTTTGCAGTTTTAGTTTTACAAAGAGGAAAGTTTAAGTTAAGAAACAAAGCAGAAAACAACCTTAACCATCAGAACTGGGTCTGAAGCTCCTCAGGAGGATGCGGGCGCATTCCGTGCACCGACCAGCACATCCTCCACAACACAGATTCACGCAGACCTTCCTTCTTTAACTCTCAGCTCCTTCTTTCTACTCCTACTTCCTTTTTTCTTTTCTTCCAGATCAAGCGTTAATCTGCGAATTTCTGACCGCAAAAGAAAAAAAAAGGGGGGGGGGAATCCTGAAGTAGCAGAGCGAGGGAGGAGGAGGAGAAAAGCAGGGAGGAGGAGCCCAACAGAGACGAGTCAGAGGGACTGGTGGCTCCTGCGAGTATGCAGCCCGCGGGGAGCCGGCGCTGCAGGCTGTGAAGCCTCCCGCCCGCCCAGTCACCCGAGCTGCTCGCCCGTCCGCGTCTAGCGTCTGGGGCCCTGCTCCACTCAGACCGCGGCCGCCTCTCGGGAGCCAGTGGCGCTACAAGGCTAGCGGGCCACATCGGTCCCCTCGCCGGCGCCCAGGATGCCGTTCTACCGGCGCACGGTGGTGCCCCAGCGTCTGTGCCCGCGCAACCCGCCCCAGCCACTAACCGAGCTCCGCGACGTGAGCCACCTGGCCGCGCTCAGCCTGCTCCGCCAGCTCGCAGACCTCTGCGGCCACTCGCTGGCTCTGCTCGAGGACCTCGAGGGGCACCTGCTGGCCCTGGGGCGCCGCACCGACAGCCTGTACCGGCGCACCGTGCGTCTCCGCCGCCGTCTTCCCTGTCGCCTGCTCGGCCCGGAGGACGACGAAGAATTGCTAGGTAAACGGCGTGAGGCGCCCCCGCTACCCACTACCCTCTCCCCCTCGCCTCTGGGGATGTCCCTCAGAGATCGAGGGACACAGCCTCCCGGATGCCCTCCCGCCGCCGTCCGAGTTTCCCGGGATCCGTTCGTGCCCTCTACTCCCAGGGTTCCGGCCTGGGGGCTGCCGCCGCCTCTGCATCACTTGGAGAGGGAGGGGAACCACAGGGTCCCGGGCGGGACGGATCAGAGCGTCCTGGTGGCGTCGGGAACCGAGTGGCCCGCGCCGGCGTCTCTGGTAATCAGCCACTTCGGAAAGCGCGCCTAGCTGCCTGCCTGCCTCCCAGGTGGCGGGGCCTCTGCAGCGAGACCCGTGCGACTTCGTGCTGGAGTGTGAATGGCCTTCCCGCGCCCAGCAGCTTCTGAGTGCCCTTCCTGCCCGCTTGTCCCCGCACTTTCCGAGTTGCGGCGCCGGGAGTGGCCGGCAGGGGGAGGGGAGACTGCCCGGGGCTTCGCTGATCCCCAGCGTCTAAGGTCCCGCTGCCCAGATTTGCTGGAGAGAATCGTTTAAAGAAACTGTCATCGGTTTTCTTAAAAGTGTGTTTGCTTTAAGACCCAGCCATGCCCGAGAATCACTAGGTCCCCGGAGTTTCCTCGCTGAACACTAGGAACCTGTAAGACTGTAGGCGGGCTGGAGCCCTGGCTCTTTGCTACTTTAGATCTCAACATTTTGAATAGGGAGGATCTCCTTCCTCTGTGAAGAAAGGCAGCATTCCCTTAGAATGTGGGACTTCTCTCAAAACAAGGGGTGTGTGTGTGTGTGTGTGTGTGTGTGTGTGTGTGTGATTATGTTAGAAATGCTGATAATAACAGAGACATGCCAGGTAATCGGGCTATTTGGCACCTAGGAGAGGTTAGGAGGTGGTGGTGGGGGCAATGTGGACAGAAAGTTTCACATAGAGGCAAAAGATGGCTACTTGCTGACTTCAGAGTGAAGCTTTGGGAGAGAAGTGTCTAGGTCAGCCCTTCTTCCTTACAGACTCCACCCCTTACAAAAGGACAGGAGTCAGAGGTTCTGGCACCCCTCTTCCTTCATAAAGGTCCCTGACCTTTGAGGTAGATGGCAGAGGTCACTGCTAGAGAAAATTGAACTGAACCCGGTGAGCAAAGGAAGGTGGAAGACAGGATGACTGCCCGATGGAATGTGGACATGGAATCAGAGGCCTCTGGGGGGGGGGGGGACCAGGAAAGCTGAGGCCCTGGGTCTGGGGTCTGGCTCCTTCTCAGTTAACAAAGAGGGTAAGAAGGTCGTTGTTTTTCTTCCCCTGGGGTGCCACTGATTTCCAGGATTAGTCTACAAGAAATTTGATCAGACAGCTTGGAGAATACTTTTCCAAATCCCTGCCCAGTCTGCAGAGAACCACCTACTGAGTTTTCAGCAGGGTAAGTTGAGGCCAGGGAGGAAGGTATGCTTTTCTAACTCACTTTTTGTGTGCTGAGTCAGCCAGCCCTTCCCATGGGCTGGGGTGTTGGGATGGCCTCACCAAGTCACCTGGGCGCCTAGCCCTTTGCAGTGATCTGCTGGATTAGAAAGAGATAGTTAAAGGAAAGGAAGGGTTCTTAAGATAAGTTGCTATTGATCTGGCTTCTTGGAAGTTTGCTGGGAGTGTGTCTGTCTCTTATCTCCAGTGTGGCCACTCGCCGCCAAGAATGTAGGTGTTGTTTGACTCCCAGGTACTCCACACACCAAACAGGGCCTCCTTCTCTAGGTTGCTAAGAAGATCTGCTTTTCCATGTCCCTGCCCTAGACTCTTCCTGAGATTCCCCCTGCATGCTTTTCTGTAGCCGTAGGCCTTCTCAACAATGGGCCGAGGGCAAGTGCCAAAGGCAGAGATGGGGAGCACAATCAGAGCACCATCTGGCACCCCATTGTTGCTGAGGCATAAGCTTCAACTAGGTGTCCAGCAGGCTGGATATTAGATTAAGATCACAAACATACAAGTGGACACTGCCGGGTCCAGTCTTCTCTGTCTCTTCTGGTACCCTTTGCTCCTAGCATCCCCGCATCTGTACTGGGCATCTTGCTAGGGCCAGCACTTCCAGTTGGTTAGCACTTTACTCCACACACTGCTGCATGTCTAGCTAGAGTCCCCTCATAGTCTTCCTGTAGCGATTTCTCCCGACCATGGTGGGAAAGAGAAATCTGCGAAGGAGGGAGGTTTGGAACCGTGGCCAGGGTGAATGACAGCTGACAGGCCAGCAGCTTGTAGCCTCCCTACTGGGACAACTTGGCTGCCACTAAAGGGTTGAATAGTGACAAGTCACACTGGCCCACAGCATGCAGGCTGGGCTGGGGCTCTGGGAAGCAGCAGGGGGAGGACAAGACAGGAGGGAAGAGAAAGCGGATGCTAAAGGATTCCACATGGTTCTTTACACTGTCTCGGGTCAAACTCCCACCGTCTTCAAGGTTACAGGGGTGGGACTGGGCTGGCTTGGTTGCCTGGCAACAATCCCCCCAAAGGCCGTTCTTTGGTAACTTGAGCCCCTTTTGAGACTGCCCTAGAAACTCTTGTAACTGGGGAATGAGGGTCTGCACCAGGTCCCTCTGTCTGTGGATCTATGGCAGTTTCCACACCTCAGGAATGGCCTTGCTTCTAAATTGAGTCCCCCCCAATATGGCTTTGGATGTGACCCATTTTGTTGCATCTTGTGGCCCTTATTCTTCTCAAAGTTGCTGTGGCCCTAGCCAGCGGGAAATAGCTCCATGCCTGCTCCTATATGCTGAGTCAATCCAAGCTTTCCTACTCCTCCCTCCGAGATCTGTTTAATGTTTGTAGGTGCTTAGATGATAATTACAAAAGCAATCAGGACATCAGCCTAGGGGTATAATATCTCCGTAGAGATATAGGAAGTTAGCGAAACACTATATAGGTATGCTTATTTTATTTTTATTACATTTTTATTTATTTATTGTGTGTGTGGATGGGAAACACACACACACACACAACGTGCCACAGTGCACAAGTGGAGGTCAGAGGCAACATGTGGTGGTTGGTTCTCTCCTTGAACCATGTGAGTCCTGGGCATTGAACTTAGGTCATCAGGGTCAGTGGCAAGTGCCCTTACCTGCTGAGCCATCTCGCTGGCGCCTCTAGTTATGTTTCATAACACTGGAGAGCTATCGCTTCACTCTGGCTTGTAGACTTTCTGTGAGAAATGTGCTTTGTTGCATCTTTGCCGTTATCTTGGCTTGACGACAGCCAGTGAGATCCATAGTAGAAACCCACTCTTCGTTTTGTATCCCTGCCTCTTGATTTTCCAACATCGTGACAACCTTGACTGCAAACCGTAAAGGCCAGCTGGCTTCTTTTGCTTGAACTTATAGTCCTAGTATTTTATAATTCTGCACGGGGTGAAAAATAGGAAAACTACACCGCTTTACTGTGGTCAGTTTGCCATTAGGTGAGATGCTTCACCCCGAGTTACCCTGCTCTTGCTTAGAAGGATCCAGCATGGCTTCTGGAGACCAGTGGAGCTTAGGGGATCGTGGGAGTTTTGAGAGACGCTTCTCCAGAACTGATTCTGTCTCTGTCCTGCCTGCCATCCTCAGAGCCTCTTGGGACAGTGGGTTGACAGAAGGGGTTTGGGGGGTATTCCTACTTTCTGTAAATTTTTTTCTTCCCTTCCCATTTTCTCCTTAAATATCACGAGACTCTTAGTCTGCTTCCTGGTATTTCCGTGTGTCGACAACGTCTTCTCTGGAAATCTGAACACCAAAATGTCCACTAGAATTTCTTGTTTCCTTTAGAAACAAGAAATTTAATCTCTTCCTTTTTAGACCCACAGACAACTAACGTGACAAAAGCATCAAGATGTCATACTAGTAGAGAAATAGCAGACTTAAGGTATGGCTTCTGGGCTCACCTTTGACCCTGATGAAGGTGATCAGGTTTCGGGAGAAGAGTGGCACATTGGCATCATCTCTCCCTGCCTGTCCTTCTCTGGCTCGGGTGGAGTCTATTTATACTATACTATGTGAACCAAAAATTCAGTCATTAGACCGCCTGAGCATCATAACACATGGCAGGCGAGGCCCAGGAAGGGGAAAGGATTTGTCCAAAGTCACTCAGACGGATCAAGACTTACAGTAACCCTGAGTGCTGAGGGGACTTTAGTGTCTCTGCAATGAGATTCTAAATGAAAGGGGTAAAAACCATGAAATAAGGCATTCTTCTTTTGGAACGACTTCACTGTCTCTTGGATGTTGAAATTAAAAGTTTCTTACCAGATTCTCTTCCCCTCCTCTCTCATATTCCTGTTGCTTGGAATTCAGGAACGTATTCTGTCTGCCAGTCTGAGAATGTGGCACTGGCCGAGTCACAGGGAAAGTCAGTGACAGAAATGCTTGATTCAGAAGGGGCCCCTGACATTCTCAACCAGTGTTCTGCCCTCTGCCATGACACTGAGTTCCAAGTCAATTCATTGGGAGCCCCTGCTCTGGCGTCTTCTTCAGCTGGAATTTGTCCGGGATAAGGAAGAATTCCTGATTCCTTTAGTCCCAGAGGAGTGCTTTAAAGGACAGACCCCGTGGGCCCCATGGTTTCTGGAGTTGGGAGGCAAGCTGGGGCTGGAGAAGAAGGATGCCCAACCCTGCTTGGTACAAAGAGCAGGCGTGAGACAATGAACTCTTGCTAAAGGTTTGAGTTTGGAGTGCAGTTTGTTCTAGAGAAGTTTGTTCAGGTGGGAAAGGGTAGTTAGTCATCAACATCCTGGCCTCTGAAGGTCACCTTCCTGTCAGGGTCCTTTACTACTGATCCTTCTGCTGCCTTCACACTGACTCTTCACCCTTCTAGAATTGTAGTTCAGTTGTGACAACGAGGCTACATCTCCACTACTTTCTGTTGCTGCAGCAGAGCTTAGCTGGCATCCAAACACTCATTTATTAAAAGCCAAGGGGAATAGGAAAGTAAAATGATTGCCAGCAATGCATTTAGCGTACACGTTTTCAAGGAATGGGTTG